TTAAATTATTTATTAAAAACTTGAGATTCAATCTCCAAATAAATAAAAAAGAGCGCAACTCTCTTATTATTCAAGAGTACGACCCAATCAACAAGCCGTATGGTGGAGTTATTGCCTTACATTATTAGTCCATAATAAACATCGACGAAGCAACTTTTTCATTAATAACATCCATGACCTTTTGCACCACTCCCTCCCTCCCTTGAGCTTCGGATCTTTTCTATATTTTAGTCGGGCCTCCGTATCCATACAAACAAAAAAGAGAAATGACTTCTCCCACTTCAAAATCCCAAGATTCATCACCTTCCGCACCAAAACCGTCAATCCCATGGAAGATCAGGCTGGCCATCTCATTCCTCTCCACCCTCACGGACCTCTCTTGCCGCTCCGATGGCACCTTAAACCGCCGCCTCCTTCGCTTCCTCGACATCCAAGCTCCTCCCAACCCCAACCCTATTAATTCCGTCTCATCCTCCGACATAAAAGTGGATCCCTCCCGCGATCTATGGTTCCGTCTCTTTTCCCCCTCCGGCTCCCTTGTCTCGGATTATACCAACCTTCCGGTTCTCGTTTTCTTCCACGGAGGCGGCTTCACCTTCCTTACCCCTTCATCTAAAGACTACGATGCTGTTTGCCGGAGATTTGCTCGTAAACTCCCTGCCTTCATCATTTCGGTTAACTACCGTCGCACTCCCGAGCACCGCTATCCCGCTCAATATGACGATGGATTTGACGTTCTCAAGTTCCTTGACGAAAACCGCGAAACTGTACTCCCAAAAAATGCTGATCTGTCACGTTGCTGCTTAGCCGGGGATAGCGCCGGTGCCAACCTGGCACACCACGTGGCAGTCCGAGCATGCCAGACAGGATTCCGAACGGTGAAAATAATCGGGTTAGTTTCGATACAGCCATTTTTCGGAGGCGAGGAGAGGACCGACTCGGAGAACCGGCTGGTCGGTTCTGGGTTGTTGGTATCGGTTTCCAGAACCGACTGGTGCTGGAAAGTCTTCCTACCAAGCGGTTCGAACCGGGATCACCCAGCAGCAAACGTGAGCGGGCCGAATGCGGTCGATATTTCGGGTCTGGAGTTTCCGAAGACGGTGGTGTTTGTGAGCGGGTTTGACCCGTTACAGGATTGGCAAAGGAGGTACTATGCGTGGTTAAAGAAATCCGGAAAAGAAGCAACTTTAATCGAATATCCAAACATGATTCATGCTTTCTATGTTTTCCCAGAATTGCCCGAGGCTACCAAATTAATCATGCAGGTGAAGGAATTCGTTGGTAACTGCATTACGGATGCTGCATGAAATGAAATGTAAAACGAAATAGATCCCAAGGCTCAGACTTAGTGGTTAAGGTTATTAATTAGTGGGAAAAATACCTCATGAGTTATGTGCTCAAACCTCTTGAAATTTTCTTCCCCATTCTCTCGTAGCACTAAAATATGTACTAATTACTTTATATTAAGAGAAATAAGAGGATTCGTGTTGATTGAAATTAAAAAAAAAAATGTGGTTAATCTTGCAAGTACTACATTTCAGCATTTTCATGAAGATATGCCAACTACTCTCTGTAGATTTAAATCATCTCATTCATTTCTGAATCATTTTTAAAGTACGTATGGACTGTTGTCTTTTAGCGTTTTTAGCATTTGTAATTTTGTAATGTCTTTGTCTGTTTCATTGCACCAGAAAACTTAATCTCAGGAAGAGAATTGAATCTTCCTTTCTCTTCCTTTCTTCTTGTTTTGGTTAGCTCTAGTTCGCTATTTTCAACCATTGCCTATTTTCAAAAAAAAAAAGTTTGCTATTTTCAAATTTCAAATGTCTCATGTTATAGTGCGATAGAATGAGTCAAATTGTGGTTTTGGACTATTAGGGTGCACTGTGAAACTAATCCTTTATGAATGATTTTAGAAATTAAAATTTTTTAGGTGTGTACTTTAAAATTTAAATTTGATTAAACTCTTAATTTGGTTCTTCAACTATTGTATGGATCACTAAATTAGTTTTTAAACTAAAAAAATCATTGATTTGATTCTTAAAATTTTTAAAATTTGGCTCAAAGTGGATTATTCTGTTAGAAAATAATTGATATATTCGTTATTTATGGTAAAAAGTCATTATTTGATAGTTATGTGTCTGGTTAGTAACAAAACACATTGTTGTTTTTGAATGAAGGAAACAATTTAGAGTTAAATTTAAAAACTTTTAAGAATTAAATTAAAAAAATTTTTTAATTTAAGAACTAATTCTGCAATTTATATAATAATTGAAGGATTAAATTGAATATTTAACCTTTAAATTTTAAATTTGTCATGTAATACATCCCTTATTTAACGTTAAACCCAATATGATTAGAATAAGTGAAATTAAATAGGTTTCAAGAGGAGATAAGAAGTAAGAACTACCCCACCTTGAGTCGTAAATGCAGAAGAATGAACTTTTTCAACTACTTAATTATAGGTAAGACGGGTACACAACTCAATTAAAAGTTCACCATCCAACCAAGCGATACTGATTATGACAATTAAAATTCAGTACTTGTTGTAGGAAAAAAAGTCAAATTAAAAAAAAAAAAAAACAAAATGAAAACGTCTCAGTGGTTTAATGATCATCTTTTCCTTGTAAATGACTTCTTTTTGTTAAGTTTAGTAGGCGTAGAGTTTGATTCTCACTCTTAATCGTTGGAAAAAATAAAAAATATAAATATAAATAGATAAAGAGACTATAAAGATTTTTTTTTTTGTTACATATCTTTCTATACATTTTTAGAGCTCTCTCTCTTTCTAGGCTAAAAGAATGGTAGGTTACTAGGTTCTATAAAAATAAATGACCAACTAAATAAGAATTAATTAGTATATAAATTTGAAAAAGTAAGTGTTAAAATAGTAATATTATATGAAATGTGTAAATACATAAGATTAATAAGATGTAAATTAGAGGTGAGAATTTTTATATATAAGTTCGGTGTGAGTTTTTTGGATATAACTTTTTAGAGCTTGAACCTACCCAAATATTCATGAACATATACTTAGTTGGTATTTAACCTAACAAATATCAAGTAATTTATAGGTATATACTTATCTACTTGGTTTAAAAAATGAAAATGTCTAATAAAGGATACTATTATTACTTGTGTTATATGTTGGCTTATGGTTTATTATTTATATGAGTTATTATTGCTGCGCATATGATTTGTTTGGTTTATATGTCTTAACTCTTAAATTTTATTTTTATCTTTTGTATTTTATTAGTTTTATTTTAAAAAATTATTATTATTTAGATTTAAGTATAATAAATACATGTAAAATTTTAATTATACAAATATAAGTAATAGGTTAATTAAACGAGTTGATTAAATAAGTCAAGTAAATAGTTTTAAATTCTTATATTTATTATTTGATTTGATACTTACGAATATACTATTTTTATACTCATTATTTATCCATTTTTACTACAACTTGTATATGGCATTTGCCCAAATGGGTAATGTATTCATAAGGACTAGGTGTAACCATACTCAATCCTCACCCCTAATATTAATCACTATTATATAACTAAGAAAGTGAAGAGTTACATTATGAGACTTTTTTTTTTTTTTTTGAAAGGCATACATTATGAGACTTAATTACTATTATTATGGTACAATGTCCAAATACACCTCCAAAGTTAAGCAATAGGGATAGATTTACCTTGAATAAAAAAAAAAAGACAAATTTACTCATAAAATTTTTTATTTGGATAAATTATCTTAAATTTAACATGTGATATCATTTGACATTAATAATTCATTAACAGCTGATAATAGTTGATGAGTTCATTGTTAACAGATTATTAATATTAGATGATGTTACAAGTTAAATTTGGGTAATTTGCTTAAGTAAAAATATGTAAGTGAGTTTGTCTTTTTTTATTTATTTATTTAGAGGTGAATTCGTCCATACTACCTAATTTTAAGGGTGGATTTGGA